TTTTGAAATTTATAATGGCAGGGTTAACGTGTAAGTATTGTATCAAGTAAAAGCACCTTTGATAAAAATGCCTACCTGGTATCCAATAGAAGTCAGCCACACCACCAGTTATAACATGAGGTTGATTAATGGATATTCTTTGCAAAGATCAATTTGGATCTCATCAAAAGCTGACATATGTGTATACAAACATGTGAACAGACACTTAGATCATGTGGTTTAAAGTAGACTACTCAATTCAGCACAAATTATGAGGAATTGATATCACATTTCCTAACACTTTGGTAAGTAAGTTTATATTCCAATATGGTAGTAATATATTTAGTATTTTAGTATAAGTATTAATCTATATTTAGGAGTACTCTCACATATTAAAAGGAGCCATCTTTACAAAAATTTAAATCATAAGGTTATACCAATAGTACATAAATATTTATCCATCTTAAAAACATAATTCTTTGTGGATTTCTGAGGGCCTCTCTAGCACTTTGCTTCTTCCTATTCTCATGTGGTCTTTATTTACCATGGTCTCCTATTCCTTGTTCTCCCTCTCTGTTGTTGATCCAGCTGGGATCTCCCGCTCCCCCAAGCTCTCTTTCCCTCAACCCTCGCCTTTCATTACCCCCACTCATGTCCAGGCTGTTCATGTAGATCTCATTCCATTTCTCTGTCATTGGGTGATCCCTGTATCTTTCTTGGGGTCCTGTTTTCCAGGTAGCCTCCCTGGTGATGTGAGTAGCAGACAAGTCATCCTTGTTTCATGTCTAGTATCTTGCTATGAGTGAGTACATACCATGCTGGCAGTGGTCGAGAGACAGCCCGAACTGACCTACTCTGGTGATGGGATGGCCAAACACCCTAATTGTTGTGCTAGAAACCTCATCCAACTACTGAGGGATCTGGATGCAGAGATCCATGACTAGGCCCTGGGTGGATCTCTGGGAGTCCAATTAGCGAGAATGAGGAGGGTTTATATGAGCGAGAATTGTTGAGACCAAGGTTGGATAAAGCACAGGGACAAATAGCCAAATGAATGGAAACACATGAACTATGAACCAATGGCTGAGGGGTCCCCACTGGATCAGGCCCTCTGAATGGATGAGACAGTTGATTGGCTTGATCTGTTTGGGAGGCATCCAGGCAGTGGGACCAGATCTTGTGCTCATTGCATGAGTTGGCTGTTTGAAACCTGAGGCCTATGCAGGATTGTTTGGCTCGGCCTGGGAGGAGGGGACTAGACCTACCTGGACTGAGTCTACCAGGTTGACCTCAGTCTGTGGGGAAGGCTTTGCCCTGGAGGAGATGGGAATGGGGGGGGGGTTGGGGGGAAGGTGAGGGGGACGGGAGGGGGGAGAACAAGGGAATCCATGGCTGATATGTAGAACTGAATTGTATTGCAAAATAAATTAATAAAAAAAAAAAATAAATAAATAAATAAAAAATATCATCTGCAAAAAAAAAAAAAAAACATAATTCTATGTTTCAGAAGTAACTGAATGGGTTAAAAAATACAGTCTACTCTATTTTGTTACATTAATAAAATATTAGTATTCACTCAATAAATATATAATGATATAATCAAGACACATGCCATTTGTATATCAATTAAAATTATTCACTGTCTTTCTCGCATGCTCAGCAGTGGACAGATATTCAATATAGCCAGGAAATGAAAGACAAGAGTTACAGAAGCGAGGTCATAATACTGTTGTAATCCATGTAAGGACAAAAGATCAGTCAAAAGAGAAAGCCAGATTCATGTAGGGCACTCTTCAGAAACGGTATTTTAACATGAAGCCTTCTCAGCTATAAAGGGTAACACTGACCTGTCACACTTGCTGGACCTGACATCATCATGCTTTCTTTGTTAGAATATTGACTCACATATTGAATAATATCTTCCATCACTTCGTCTTTCATTCACTGGAAGGCCTAGGAACTGACTACCAGTAACACAAAATCATCACAACTGCAGATGCAAAAGGTTTGCGTTTATCCACCCATTTGTGTATGTAAAAAATGTGTGTTATATTAAATTTGTGTATGCACACATAGTCTCTATGAGTCTGCATATAAAAGCTGTATAGTATTTAAGCATATAATGAGATACTTTTTTATATATGAACATTTTTTTGCAGTTACAAATAAGTGAAGAACAAAAATATTTGGCTGTATATCTAGTTAGAACTGTAGTCATTCATTCATTATTTTATTGAACCTGAATCAGTTTTTTTTTTATATTTTTTATTAGTCAAATATTTGCAGTGAATAGGTAATCTAGTTTGAAATGCATGAGTGCTTTCATGATGAAGGATTAGAGTAAAATAAAAATGTTATCAATAATTATTAATAAAAATAAATGTATGCTCAAATGGACAATGCCTGTAGACTTTCAATGATATCAAGAATTGCACTGCACTGTGATTCCTCATAGGTACAACATGGAAGCCACAACCATTTGCGATTTGGAACAAGGACACTGGAGTGAGAGTCAGGAATCTTGCCCTTATTGTGAAACATGACCTGTGTCAAATACGTGACACATATCTGGTTCTGAATCTTTATTTCATGACTAAATGTATTTCTAGTACTAAAAATATAGACATAGAAACATTTAATATTACAGATCAAATGAGATATGTATCATGACAAGTTAATTACAATTCTAAGCAGCTCTGTCTGAATTGAAACTTTTTTTTAAATTTTATCATCTATTTTAAGGAATGCAACTTGATACATTTGTTTTTATGTACGTATTAAAGTGGTTATAGTATCAACCACATTTATATCTTTGTCTCCTTCCACAGTCTCTTTTGTCTGTCTGTGAGAATGTACTGGAACACCCTAAGACTACCTTTATAGCCCATTTCCAATGCATGGCAGACCATGTAGCTCTAACTCTCATGTTTTCTTGCATGGCAGACCATGTAGCTCTAACTCTCATGTTTTCTTGCATGGCAGACCATGTAGCTCTAATTCTTATGTTCTCTGTTTGTGCTTTCACCTCCACTTCCTGCTTACCCCCTTCCCAGTGCCTATGTGAAGTCTGCAAATCACTGGGGATTTGCATCCCTCACCTCTGCTTCCTGATTCCTCCATTCCCAGTGGTTGTGTGAGGCCTGCAAGTCACTGGCACTTTCCATCTTTCATTTGCACTTTTTGCTCCTCTTCTTTCCAGTGCCTATGTGAACTATGATGCTACTGGAGGTTTGCACTCTTTACCACTGTGTCCTGCTTCCTTCAGTCCATAACTAGAAGAGAATTCAGCATTCCCTTGGTTCTTTGTTTGACTTTTCTTAGATTCTACATAGAAGTGAGGTCATGCGGCACTTTATTTTGTGTGTTTTGTAGCAGGGTCCTGTGCTGTTGTTCTCTTTGGGGGAGGGGGCCAAGTAGACACAGAGTCAAACTACACAGACTCCAGGAGAATGTCAAAACAACAAGCTCAGTTTATTCAGGAAGAGGCAAGCCTTATATATCCTCCACCCCACCCTGGGGGGAGGTCTGATGAATATGCATCTGCTGGTGTGACATGGCCGCCTCTCATTGGTCCACGTCATCTCCAGATCATGTTTCAGCCGCTGTTGCTAAGGCAGGCCCAGGCTGGCTCTCAGAAAGTATTGTTTTTACTTGCTTGGGCCTGACGGCCCACAAGCCTGTTAGGGATAAGTCATCCCACAGTGTTTGACTTATGAGTATAATGCCCTCCAGATTCATCCATAGAGTGAATTAGAAAATTAAAAAAAAAAAAAGTACTAACACACAGAAAATGTAACTTCTTTCTTCACAACTTATTTACACATTAACCTTATTACTAACGTTGCTCGTAGATAGAGTTGCTTGTAGGTAGTTTCATCCTGGTGCTGACTATAAACTTGAGGCTCATGATTCATGATGTGAACAATTTCCTGAGAGATATTCACTCCACAAGAATGGGACTTGAAATCAATCAGTACGCAATAGGAACACCTGTGTTTAACTATATAATATGGACTAAAAACTGTTAAGAGTGAACTATGGAACTCATGTACGGAGTTTTCCTGTCCCACAGCTGCTCTCAAATAATCACTCTAGGCTTATATTAATTACAAAAGCTCAGCCAATAGCTCAGGCTTGTCACTACCTTACTCTTATATTTAAATTAACCCTTACTTCTTATCTATGCTTTGGCACATGCTCATGCCTTGTTCCCTCATTTTCTATACATCCTGCTTCCTCTGAATCTCCTTGTGACTCCTCCACCCTTCTTCATCCCATCATTCTCAGTTTGGTTTTCGTGCCTGACTTCATCCTGTTCAGCTATTGGCCAGTCAGCTTGTTTATTAAACTTATCATAGCTACATATATTCACACAATGTATAGAAGGATTATTTCACAGCCTTAGTGAATGGAATGGAAAATGTCATAGCTAAGTTAATCCTTCAGGGAAAAGTATCTTTTTATCATCAGTTCATAAATTTGCGTATGTCTGAATTATCTGTAAATAATATTGTGCATAGTGCTGAAGTGGTTATGAAAATTCTGCTCAAAATTGGAGAGAAAAATGAATGCAAAGAAAAGCAGAAACAATTAAGTTCAATAAGAGAATCTGAATTCCTGTCTACTCTGGGTGTGGGCCCTCAGAAATGTACAGAGTATATCTCATTTTCCCACTGAAAAATTCTTTAATCTGTGATTGCCAAACTTCTTACAACACTTTGGTATATTATCTACTGTCCTACAAACCCTAAAAACAGCAACAAGCGCATAAAATTGCCTCCAGGTTACTCTCCCTGCAACAACACTTTGAAGTATCATTCCTCATCTACACTTGAAAGAAGTGAGGATGCATCCATGCTTAGTGAGAGCCCTGTATCCAGGGCAGTGTGTTCCTGTGATAAATATAGTAGAGTCTTTAAGTGAAAGTGTACAGTTTTCAAGTAAATGTGTCTTAGGCATATTGCCAGATGTCACGATAGTGTTTATGCTATTGTTTAATAGAAATATTCATTTCCTTCTAGGAGCAATTTTTGATGAATCTGCTAAAAAAGATGACGAGGTGTTCCGCACAGCAGTTGGTGACCTCAATCAGAATGAAGAAATCTTACAGACAGAGAAAATCACATTTTCAGTGACATTTGTTGATGGCAACAACCCTTTTCAAGCTGTTCAAGAAGGTAAGGCCCTTCAGTGATCTAAGATTTATTTTAATTATGTTATTTTATTGTTTAATAAAATGGAAATTAAAATAGATTAGTAAACAGCAATTCAAAGTAGGCATCATTATGTGTGGTTTTAGCTAATTAGATACTACTTTTCTCTGAGAGTTCTTACAATGTACTTTTTTAATCTTACATTCAACTTTTGAAGGCATGTCATATAAAAAGTTATTATGTGGATTGAAATATGATATGAAACTGTGCATATATTTTGGAGTCAAGAGCTTTTTGTCATTGTTATAACGTCAATGGAAATGGAACATTCCTGTAAAATATGACTGTCTATCAGAATTTTTGCTTTGTATTTCTCTGCAATTACAGCCAACTTGAGTGTTGTTACAACTTGCAATGACATTTCAGGTATACACATGATAAATACAGTGCTGCAAGAAAAAACTAGAAATACCACCCACAAATCAGCAGTGCTGTGATGTGTTCCTAAAGTCCTGACTCTGGCTGTATTGTTTTATTTTCTACAAGTTTCCAGACATTAAAATAATATCTTTCTTCCTGATTCTCATGAGAGTGAATTAAAGTTCTCATTGACAAAAGTAATCTGCATTGCTCTTTCTCAGATTAGTGGAATTGTCTGTTTCAGTGTGATAATCTAAGTAAGCGTTAATACCCTTCTTTGGTAAAGCACTCATTTGGGGGGAATTATTTCTTTATGGTGGCCAAGTATATAGATGATTTTTGTGATTTTCCCTGTATTTCAATGTTGAAACATAATTCCTGCTGCAATGACATTAAGAGGTGGGAGATGTGGAAGCTGCCGAAGGCATGGGAATCTGCCTTTATACATAGGGTTAGTGCTCTTAAAAAAGAGGTGGAGTGAGCACACTGCACCCTTTGCGTTCAAAGGACACAACAAGGAGACACTTTCTTTGGTATGAAAACCTAGCACTCAGTAGGCAGAGTCCGCTAGCCCCAGGAACATGGGCTTCCAGCATTCAGAACTGTGAGCAATAAGTTTCCAGTCTTTTTAAGTTACTAATTAAAAGATGTTTTCTTATAGTTACACAGACTAAGACATTGGTCTGTTTTACATTTTATTGCACTATACTTTTAGGATGACGAAGGGCACAGTAATCTAGTCAAATGACTTGGCATTGTGAAACATTTAAATTGGATTTGGAAGAAGAAACAACAAACATCATCACATTGGAAATGGTAAATTAGTTTGGCAGGAAACAGTGTCAAAAACTAACATGGACAGGATGATAAAATAACCCTAAGTGTCTGGAACATGCAGCCTTTTTTTCTGCTATTATAACTTTTTGATGTATAGATTGTGTTAGAGAGGACTCTTAGGTATTCATTTACTTTTGTTCATTGACTGGATATTGCACTTGTGATCTAAAAAATATTGTTTATTGCTGACTGGATAGTATAAACAAGACTTTTTTATGAAATAAACAGAATTAAGAACCAACTATTTTCACAGAAAACTGAAAAGTATGTTTAGCGATGTTTTGATTTTTAATAACTGAATGTTAATGCAAGGCCAAATTAAAATGCATCCAAATATTTCACATTAAAATCATAGTTATACCATGAATTAAAGGTTCAAATAATGTGTGTGTTGAAAAATAATTTATGGAAGCATTTAACACATGTCTAATATTGGAATCTGTAAAGGAATTGGAAAAATAATGTAGAATTTGAAGAAGATATTCAATAATTTACAGTATTATGTTTACTAACAATCATTGTATCAATGAATGCTTCAAGACCTATTTGTCACCTAGTGCTTTCATGACCATGATGGGAACAGAAAACAAAGAGTTCTGATCAACTTATCTTCCTAGTCTATATGTGTCAATCTTAACTTCTCTCCATATCAACCTCAAAATTGCAATTAGATACTAATGGATTTTAAATGTCTACCTTGATTGAAAAAGGAGATTAGAGGAAATTATAATGTTTGAATAAATTCCCTCAGACCATTTTTTAAAGACTACATTAAGAACATTGAATGCTTTTTTTCCTTTAATAGTGCAGTGATATTCTTTTAGACTTTGCTTTGTGCATCCATCCTGCTGTTTGATAAGTTCTAGAAACAGAAATATCGCTCAACAGAACTGTAGGGACTTGAAAGAAGTTGTGACATTGAAAGCAAATTGAGAGAGAAAATAAGTTGGCCAGATGGAGTCCACTAGTTATCTGACAGGCAGTCTGAAGGAGCTTGACAGATTGCCTGGATGGTATCTACTACTAACAAGATGTTCTGGACCAGTTAGTCATATTGATGGTCTGTGCTGGGTGGTGGGCCTGAAATAAGTTATAGCTTTAGAAAAGCTTCCTTTCACTCTTTTGTATCTAGAAGGATTTGGAGGGTTTTGTTGTTATTGTTTTATTTGGTTTTGTTTTGTTTTGTTTTATTTTCCTGAGATAGGCTTTCTCAGTGTAGCCTGGACCAGACTGGCCTTGAACTCACAGATCCTCCTGCTTCTACCTCCCAAGTGCTGGGATTAAAGGTATGTACCACAACTGCCTGGCAAGATTTGGACTTATTTTGCAAGTGAAAATAATTATTTCAAATGATACCATAAGACATTGGTTCAAAAACATTCCACAGAAACTATCCAGGCTAGGTAGGTCTATCAGCTAAAAGGTCACATAACTACGATATGAAGTCAGGAAGTGTTTGAACACAATCTGTGGGTGATATTCTAGATAAAACCTTAGCAACATAGAAACACCTTATGTGAAAGACACTGGCAACTATAGTGAAAGCAGTAGCAGCTAATCTTATTAGTTCTTGACAGAGACTGACTTACTAATGCCCATGAAATGTGAGAGCTTATAAGAAAATAGAAGTAAGAACGTACCAGTCAGAGTATCTCACTAGATACTAAATGCAAAAACCTGACCTGAATGGTTCTTTGTGTAAGATTTTTGGAAAGATTAATCACTGTACATTGATATATAATAGCAAAATTCAGCTAAAGACTTTTCACATAATTACTCTTTTCTAAAAGGTACCAAAATCTGAATAGCTTATGTGTTATAATGGCAGAACCATACTATAGTCAGAAAAAAATATTCTTGAAGAAAATGTAGAACTACCATGATTATATTTCTTTCTGAACTATTACAAAGCATTATAAACTATATCATTATTATAAACAACACCAATTTCATGGAAATATTTAGTGCTACTACGTATAAATCAAAGTCTCAAAAGTAGGATTCAAGATGTAAAATATCTTCATTGAAAAGTCCAGGGAAATTCCTTATTTCCAATTGTGTTGGCTTCATGAATCTTCCAAATTGAAGTCATTGCAAGCGTATGAAGAAAATTTATAAGCCAAAAATGATTTCCTTTCTAGTTATTGATATCAGCCTGATTGTTTTAAAATCATAGCAGAAATGCACCATTTTTTTTTTTAATTAATTCTTTCTGGGAAGACAGAAGCAAATACCATATACCGAACCAAAGGCAATCAAAGAAAGGACCCCACCCATTTCTAGTTTAGTGAACCAATGTGTATGTTCCCATTAGCTATGGGAAGATAAGTTAGAGGTGACATGTAGGAATGTGGGTGACTCAGAGCCAGCTGTATCCTTAAAAAGCCCATCTTGGCACGGCTGGCCTCTCTTGAAAGTTTCATGCCTAGAGCTCTCTGGCCAGCTCACAGTCAGTTCAGCTGGTGAAAGACTGTCCTCTCCCCAGCAACTGCTCCTTGGTTTTTGTAATGATGTCCTTTGCTGTTCTCAGACTTTACAATCTGATAGTTCTGGCCCAAGAACAAAACTCAAAGGTCCTGTGCTAATTCTGCTCATAATTCTACTCATACTCAATTCTACTGTGCCCATTTGCCTATTTCTTCATTCATCTTTCCTTACTGCACAGCAGATAGTTGTGCTTAGACTTCCCGTTTTTTTTTTTTTTTTTTTTTTTTTTGAGCTTCAGCGCAATGTGTAAGCCTCACTCATCTACATGTAGGAAGTGGGGTAGAAGGAAATGAGGCCTTCACTTGCTTATCAAAACAGGTCCCTTTAGCAACTTGTTTGCTTCTTTTTTTTCTCCCTATACTTGAATACATGTGGACATTTAGTAGAAGATAGACGGAAATCTTCTACAATTCATTCACCACTTTTTCTTCCTACCAGTCATGTTGCGAAGACTCGTCCACAAAGTCAGGAATCCACATATTCCTAACAAGTGATGTCAACACACTTTGTCAACAAAGCAGTGAAGTGTAATCTGTTCTGGAGCTGCTAGAAACATCATCCACATCAGTTTTTTTTTAAGTATTTCACACTCACTCCTCCCATAGAAGAACAGCCCATTATAGGAGTCTAAAAGCTCAGTCAAGTTCTCTCCAACTCCACATGTTGTGCTACTCTAAGATTAGACTAGTGTTAGTGATACATAATGAAAGACATCAAGGAGACAATGTGTGATTCAGGGTTCTGAAAAACTTACAAAAAGTAAATTGTAGACTTCTAACATATAGAAAGACATCTTTTTGGGTGTATAACTTGAGTGTTAACTGTGTTACTAATAAAAGAAAAAGAATGTTGTATCCTTGGATTCAGAAAGGAAGGACATGACTTTTATTTTATTTTTTATTTTTTTTTTTTATTTATTTATTTATTTTTTTTTTGGTTTTTCAAGACAGGGTTTCTCTGTGTAGCTTTGCGCCTTTCCTGGAACTCACTTTGGAGACCAGGCTGGCCTCGAACTCACAAAGATCCGCCTGGCTCTGCCTCCCGAGTGCTGGGATTAAAGGCGTGCGCCACCACCGCCCGGCGACTTTTATTTTTAACAAAATGTTATAAATATTAATAGTATGATTTATGTCTTTTCATAGCAAAATTATTTTAAAAAATGAAAAACTAGAAACAAGTTTAATAGCCACCAAATGTGAACCCATACATACTGTAACACATCTTGGAGATGAGATTCAGTATTTGAAGAACACTCTATTAACAGAGATGATAAATGATTC